TATTTCATAGTCTACTTTAAAATAATCAAACATAATAATCACCTCAAAGTCTTTCTGTGTGCCTTTTTTACTGTGTGCCTTTCTACAGTAGACCTGGGTACCCTGTGTTGTTCAAAATAGGTGTTCAGAAATGTGTATTGAAGACTGGTGGTGTGGCGCATACCTGTAATCCCAGCACTCTGGGAGGCTGAGGCAAGAAGGTCACAAGTTTGTGCTCAGCCTAGACAACTTAGCAAGTTATTGAGAGCTTGTGGCAAAATAAAAACTACAAGTTTTGAAAAGGCTAAGGTTCCAGTTCACTATGAAGGATCTGGGTTCAATCCCCAGTACCACCAGAAAGACAGAGAGGAAAGAGAGAGAGGAGGGAGGGGAGGAGGGAGGGGAGGGAAGGAGGAGGAAGAGGAAGAGGAAGAGAAGAGGGAAGCTGAGGAGAGGAAGGGGAGAAGAGGAGGAGAGGGAGATGGGCAAGGAGAGGAAGCAGGGAGACGGAGAGAGGGAATCAATGTGAAAGTCTCCCTTTCAGGACAATTATACCTAATAGGCACTGTGCTGTGTATCTGTCCCCAACAAAACCCAAATTTGTCATCAGGTGATGACATCAGAAATTATAACCGGAACAGTAATCCCCTGCTCTTTTGTTTGTGAACACACTTCTTCTTAGAAAGCTATTAATTTTATTTATATTAATGGAGTGAAGAATTTAACCATATTTGCAGAACCACATCATCACTGAATTTTAAAATGCATAGTTCTTTGTATTTTTACATTTCACCCATAGTTATTTCATTTTCTTTTTTCTTTCATTGTATTCAAAAATAAGCAGCATGAACTCTTCATGAAATTGAGAAGAATTTGTTTTGTGAAGTCATAAGAAGACTTATGTATCATTGGTTAAGTCTTTCATCTTCAAATTAAAATTTGTTATTTAAAGTATGTTTTCAGTTCCTTATATCATGTATCACCTGTTAAAATTCCAATTGTCAGATGATGTATTTTCTTTCTTAGAGAATATCTTTGCTCATGAGGCAATGCTTCTGGGGCTGGGGATGTAGCTCAGTGGCAACACACCTGCCTAGCAAGCACAAGGCCCTGAGTTGAATTCCCAGTACTGGGGGAAAAAAAGACATGAAAAGAAAAGTAGGCAATATTTTTGACATTCAGAAATTTGACTTCTATCTTGATTTGCTCCTACCAAGTTTCAATATTAAATTAGTTGAAGCATATACACTTCTCACTATCATTATTTTTGTGATATTATTGAACATTCATTACTTGGAACAATAAAATTGTCTCAAGCCATATTATATTAACACAAGAGAATTATTAGATTTATGCATGAAATCTGTTTGTTCTTATCATTTCTTAGAGAAAGAAACCATTGTTATTATGTCAGAATGCCCTGAAGTAGATGACCATTCTTACTATATTAATACATGAAGAGTTTCTTTTCATTATGAGTTTCAATAGAAGATTAATGTGAGATTCTTTGTTGATGCATTTATTTAATAAGCTAAAAGAAAAGTAGTTTGGAGACTAATCAAGACTTTATTTGCCTTAGTTTTAGTTATTAAATCATGCTAAATAGAAATGGTACTTATTTTTTAACTATCTAGAAATTACTTCATGTTATAGATATAAATGATGCCTACATTTTGTTCATTGTTTTTATGTAGCATTACCCTGAAAAATACCAATTAGGGTGAAATAAAATCAGGCTATTAATTTAAATACTAATGCATCATTTCCCAAACTATGTTCCAAAAAACACTAGTTCCTCAGAAAATTCACCTTCATTGTGCACATTAGCACACATTTCACGGGGAGGCAGGCCTGAAAAACACTAGATTTATTTGCAGAGCCTTTACCAGGTTAAAACACAGTGTGAGTTTCCAGAAGGACATTTATTATATTGTCCATTCCCTACACATTTCCTGAATATTCTGGACCACAAGCCACAGTCAATTTGTGTGGAACTATTTGAAAATCAGAGTTCTAAGAACTCAGTTTTAGAAATGCATGATAGGAAAAATGAAATATCCATTCCTCCCCTGGTTATCTTGCCAACACTGATTATCACAGAAATAATCAAACTGAAATGCTTTTGCAAAATAGTTTCTTCAATTCCTCTACCATCTAACCATAGCTTACAAAAATTAGCTTTTATGTAATCTGATTTTACCTAAGCATTGACTACAATATTCAACATGACATAACAGTTGATTTTCAAGGGGTGAAAATGTCAGTTTACTCTAACTGATTTTTCATATTCATGTTTGAAAAACTGGCAAATATCAATTAATGACAAATTTAATTTGACATTGGTAGATATAAAGATCTTTGAAGGATTTGAGCATCAATTTTTTCTGATCACTTATTGATGGTAAATGTAAAAGATACAACTTCAATCAGTCAGCTCCCAAGAATCTTTACTTTTAGTAGTCAAATAGTAACAGATTAGGGTAAAACAAAAGTCAGTACTGAAAGTAAATATTTATTCACCCAGGATATGGTCAGATTTATAATGAATATTTTATCTTTATCTATTTCTTTGGATAGAATAAACTGATGAATTTTGAAATTCTGTAGATAACTGATTTCATTTACTTGCTATGGATTTTACCTTAAAAATTGGTTTTCTTTCAAATAATGCCAAGTAAGCATACTGCTTGATTGTGTAATATATAATATAACATTGTTCATGATAAAGTTCCCTATGAGAAATACAACTTTAATTTTAAATAACATGCAGATTATAAACCAACAATATTATTGTTAAATTTTTAATGGCAAAATATTCTCAACTTTTACAAATTTTAATACTTACAATAAATATACTGAATAATTTTTGAACAATAATGAGCTCCACAAAAATACATTTAAACTATTTTGAGCAACCTAGCCATTCATATATTGATATTAACAAGGACCACAATGCTCTATGAATTGTTTAGATTTTTATCCACATAAACCACCAGTGTTTAACTAAATAATTTTTATTGGAAACTTTCAAAGATACTTATTTTCCAACTTGCTTGAAAGAATACTGATAATAAACTAGCCTTTTGTAGATAGCAGTGTTATCAGAACTCCCCTATCTGAAAGTTCTCTGTGTTATGTTCCCGTTTGCCTATCCACTCGAATTCCCCAGATACTGAGCTTTCATGTCCCCCCAACCTTGTCTTCACAGGCAGCTGAGATGTCCTCATGCCTTCTGATGTGCAGCTCTGCTTTCCTCCTGTCTTTCAGAAGTTAACCAGAGGCTTGCCTTAGGCAGCAGCTACAGAGCAATGTTCAGGAGCTTTGTGAGAGGTATTTCCTCTAAGGAGACATTTTTTGCCCTCTTCTAGATTCATAGTTGTGTTCAAGGTAAAATTGGCCCTGCAGAATGTCTGACCTACCAGAAAGTGAAATGTTAATAGATCAAATCACTTCAAAGAATAAGAGATCATATTCACTTCGTGCCCTCGCCTCAGGCTCTATGTGTTTACTTGCAAAACTTCCCATAAAAGATTGCCAGGGAGCTCAGGGTCTAATTTCACAGCATGGCAACTCTTTATTCATGTATCTATTTAGTCCCTATCTGGTTCCAGAGAGGTTTTTTATAACCACTAAGCCTTCACACTTTGTGTATCTGAATCTTCCTTTTACTTTGAAATGCATCTCAACTCCCACCCTTTCTCCAGGTATACATGACCTTTGAGTATGTGCTTTTAAAGTAATTAGGAAAAAATAGTTTGAAACTGGGCTCAGGCTAAAAATTTCATATACATTGTAGTTTTTAGTCCTATAAAAGGCTTCAAATTAAGTATCGCTTAACTGAGTTAAGTGTGAGTTAACTGAGTGAGTTAACTGAGATTCGGAAAAGTTGAACAAAATCCCAAAGTTCTTCTCTTTAGAAGTTGCGACAAAAGAATTTTCACCCAGCCTTTTCTGATTCAAAATCCCTGGTTAGTTCCACAATATTCAATCTTTCAACACAGTCAAAAAGCAAACTAGTCTGTGACATTACATGTTTACATGATCACTCAGAGAAGCTGTCCACAGTTCAAATACAAAATGAGGCCCTGAATCCTTTAAGAAAAGGTTATATTTTTAATCAAAAAAAAATTCTTTATGACCTTGAGATTTTATGTTCTTTAAGAGTTTCCAATCCAGTATGGTACTGTTTTTCCATTTTTTTCAAGTTTTAATATCCTTAACCTCAACTTTAGGCATCTGAACAATTCATTCCCACAAGTTATGCCTTATTTTAATCAATGTGGTTTTGCTTTTTGCTATTCTGTTGGTATTTAAATCAATCATGCCCCTGTTCTAATGTTAACTCTGTAGCCACAGTAAATTGCAAACATAATTATTCACCTATACCCATTAAGTGAGCCATGGACAACCCATTCTACCCACACTGCAGTATATGTTGCATTTGAGTAAACTTAAATGACCACTATTACTCATTGGGAGTTAATTGCTTAGCATCAAATAAAGTTGCTTTTACAACTCCTATAGTAACAGTAAACTAAACAAAGCCACAAAATTTTCTGAAGAATAAACTTTATCTTTATAGCTTGAGTCCATTAAACTTACCACATAAAACATTAAAATGTTCTATAATATTTTTAAATTTTCCTTGGCACATTTTCCTGGTATCTCTACAAGAAATTATACTTGGAACACTTGCTAAGCTTTTTACCAATAAGTCAAATAATCTTCCAGTATCGAGACAATCACAAGAAAGTTTCAAAATAAAAGAATTTCAATTTTTAAAATGGAAGTAACCCGTATCATTTAACTAAATCAAACTGACCTGTTTTCTAATAATGAAATTTTATGTAGCATTTTATTACTTTCAGGAAAGCTACAAAATTCATTAATTTTAAGGTTGTTGACTAGCAAAACATGGAAATAGAGGCTAGCTGGTCCAACTTTTCCAATCTGTGATTACTGCTCTTTTGTCCTGTCAGTTATATTATACATCTGTTTTTGCTAAATGTCACAGGTCTTACCGTCAGTCTGTCCTCTAAATTCTTGCTTAATAAGCTTCCTTTTTCATGCTTTTCAAATTCCATGTTGAAAGAGGAGAGAGAGAGGAGAGAGAGAGAGAGAGAGAGAGAGAGAGAGAAACAGAGGTTCAGATTCTATGCAGAAAATTATCTGACGTGCTTACATGTGAGATATTGCTGGCCATTCCAAGTTGTGAGAGCCTAGGACACTATCAGAAAGCCCTGGCGATAATTTCTGGTTAGCTAGTGTTTCCATTTATAGATGTTCAAACCCCATCAACAGAGCACTCAACAGAAGTCAGGCAGCTGGCCTTAGATAATGATAAATGTCACTAAATATAAAAGCAATCTCTTAAATGGGAGAATTATCCAACAGGTTGGGTCCCTGAACTAAGAAAGATCTATATGACAAAAGCTACACTAAGAGCTGTTGGAGAAGAAAATATATTTAGGGTATAGACCTAATAAATCAGTTATTAAGGGACAAATATGATAGTCATAAAGCAAAAATGAATCAGCCAGTTTAGTGCTTCCAAATTCTAATTTGTATCCTGGTAGTGTAGGCATGTATGCATTACTGTGAAAATAAAAAATAATATTGCTTAAAAAGAAAGAGCAACTGAATAACAAATTAAATCTGTACCAACACACAACGCATACAGTCAAAGGGTGTTGCCAATTTCATTCCATGGATTACCATGAAGTAAAATTAGTTTTTCTTCATAAAAACTAATATTGATCTTCTTTTACATGGGAAATAAAATTATGACAGAGGAAATAAAATTTATTTTTCCAATGGGACAAATGTTTCCAGAATTCTTTATAAAAATATTACATGACTTAAAGAAAATTAATTGTGCAGCTTAATAGCAGTTAAGTCTCCCTGTATTTTCTAGCAAAACTGATATGTAGTGGCAACAAAAGAATAAAAATGGCTCTTCTTAAAATTTCTTTATTATTAGCTACATAGCTAAAACACATGTCTTTGGTGACTTAAACTCTCAGTCTATGATAAATATCCTTTAACACCATATTTTTATCTTGACTCAAATTTCTTGCCAGCTTTTCCTTCACTACTTTAGAAAACTACACAGAAAATGTGTTGGGAGACTCTGTCCTTCACAGTGACCTCTGTGCACTCTGTGGCCAGGCAGGGTTGGTTGCTCCAATCCATTCCACATCTTGAGGCAAAGGTTGAGGACTTCGGAAGTGAGGCATTTGGTAGGAAAGAAACCTAGTCCTGCTTCAGGATGGTAAATTCAGATTTATAGGCAAAGGGGCTTCCCCTGTGGGCTCCTCTCTGCATTCCAGAAAAAGTATGGTACAGTTGCTGGGAAATGAAAGCCTGGAAAGGTTCATTAGCATGCAAGATTGGTATGTTCAAAAGTAAAGGCAATTATTGAAAATTTATGTGAATGGAACTTGCAAAACTCTCCTAAGACAAATAAATTCATGCTATGGCCACATAAGAAAATTCAGTTCTTGTTCCGCATGCAAGTTTAATGCCTACAGATGAAACCCAGAATTTGGGTAGGAAGAAAAGGAATGGTGTGCATGGTGCAGTTGGCTAGGAGATAAAAAGCCAGGAGTGCCATAGGAGGGGTGTACAGGTAGTGTCCTGAGTACCTGTAATGGATCACTATCATCCTAGGAACAGGCAGACTTTTGAAAAGTAATAAATGAAAATAAAAGATCTGAAATATAATCCCTTTCAGTTAGCAGTATACTTCAGTGATAGAGTGTACCCCTAGCATGCATAAGACTCAATCCCCAGCACTGCAAAAAAACGAAAAGAAAAAAAGTGCAATCCCTAGAGATCAGTCTTCAACAAACGGACAATGTAGGCATAGAAAAAGACACAGGTATTTGTAAACAGCACACTTCCTGAACTCCCCATGTCCCAGTTATGGTTTGTAGACTTTCTATATTATTTCAATTAATTCTTAAAAACACTCTAAAAGGTAGTAACTATTATTTTGCCTATCATCATGTATCACACCCAAAATTCAAATATTGAATCCCTAATTCCCCAATACCTAAAATAGGACTGTATTTAGATTTAGGTTCTTTAAAGGGGTAGTCAAGGTTAAACAAGGTCATTAAAAGGGGCCCTAGTCCAGTGTAATGGGTGTCTTCATAAGAAGAAGAAATTAGGATGCCAGTCTTTCTCTGGGGGAAGATGATGAGGAGACTCAGTAAGCAGACAGCTGTCTACAAGTCAAGCGGTGACCTTGGAACACCTTGATTATGGGCTTTTGTCCTCCAGAAGAGTGACGAAATAAGTTCTGTTGTCAAATTGCTCAGCCTGAGCCAGGCGCAGTGACATAGGCCTAAATCCCAGCAGGCTGGGAGGCTGAGGCAGAAGGATCACAAGTTCAAGCCCAGCATGGGCAAGTTAGCAATTTAATGAGACCCTGTCTCAAAAAAGTTTTAAAAAGAGAGGAGAGGAAGCTCCCCCACCGCCATCCCATGCTCCTAGGGCAGAGAAGCTGAGCCAGTCCAAGCACCCGGAAGGAAGCTCCCCCGCCACCATCCCAAGCTCCTAGGGCAGAGAGGGTGAGCTGCTCGGGTGCCAGAGGCACACACCCCCCCCCACCCCG